CACCTCTTGTTACAGTGTTCCTTGTTGCACATTCATATTTTGGGTGCAAAAGGACTCTACAACTACAAAACAAAGGTATGTGGAAATAGCATGCAAGGTAGTTAAAAAAGAATGCAGGTTTTCAGCATGGCGAAAAGTAGTTTTCAGGTACAATTCTCCAAAGAGAAAGGCTAATTGCAAATTGCTGTCATTTTAAGGACTACTTCCCTAAACATCAGCTGCACAATGCTTGTTATCAAAAAAGCCCAGAGCTAAGCTTGTAACAGCTTAACATAAATGCCTGTCATGTAGAACGTCTTTTCCTCTCTTAGCAAAATCACTGTTAACCAGTTAGCAAAGATTAAGTAAGAATCAAACATGACTTTTCTAAAGGGCCACCTGGAAAGTCTTAATGCTATTTCACATCATTTCATTTTCACCCAAATGTATCAAGACTACTAATTATGTGATGGCTTTCCCAAGTGCTTCATTTGAAAACAGACCTACAACACCTAAAAAAACCCAATGCTGTTCTTGCTCCATTTCTTTAAAAAAGAGGTAAACTGTTGATAAGGCAGCAACACAAAGTGCTCTTAGTTGTGATTTGCTATTTTGTGTTGTAAGTCCTGTCAAATGTACTACAAAACCATAGACTCAAGGTGAGCCTGACATCTTAAAAATATTACAGGTGATGCAATACTCAGAATGTAAATAACAGAACACACAAAGAGAGCACATCTCAAAGAAATATGCAACAAGTGAGGAAATTTTGGTAATAGCTTCCAATTGTTGCAAATAGTAATTATATTCAGTGAAAACTGGATCAGGACTTGTACTTGTAGATGAATGCAAATGCTAAACTGATTCTGGAGGACTAAATTCTTCACTCCAGAAAAGAGTTAACCACCTCAACAACTTACAATCCCAGAAAGCAAATACAGATAACAAAGAATAAGCAACATTTTTGGTACAAAAATGTTCTGTACAAAAGCAGAGCTACTTGGTGCTCCACAAACGGTTTGTTTGGTTGTTTTATAATAATAGTGGCATTCCTAGTGCAGGCAAAAAATTCCTTTTCTTTTTAAGCTTAATAGTTTGAATTTATACCTACAGTTGTTAATTATAACTGAATTGCTAGGACAGAAATGCATTACCTTGTAAACTAATCTATATTTTAAATTAATGAACAAGTACTACTTAGCCAAAGTCAGCACATTAACTTTCTGACCTAAAAGATAAGTCTAATATATCAGAAGAAATAAACAGATAAGACCAAAAAATGCCATTATTATTCAGTAAACTGACATCAAAAGGTACTGCAGTATTTAGGAACTCTGCTACATCAACAGGTTCTCCTGCCTCATGAATGAGAAGGTGAATACAGGAATTACAGGGTGCTCCTTGAGCCCTCCACTGGGGATGCTCCCTTCCCAGACAACTGTAGTAGCAAAGCAGAGCTGCTATTTTTGAAGTTGGTGATTCCTGGAAGGAGGGATGTTTTTGTCTGAGAATACATGATCCATAAGGTTTATAGGGTCTACCAGTTTTGGCTGAGCTCCGCACTACAGGGCAGTTCGTGTCCTTCACATACATCCAGAACCACTGAAGAGGTAAGACTGGCTGTGATATCACACCAAGAAGGGCAAAATTAAGAGACACATGAAAGTTCTAAGAATTCAAATGTGGCAATAGCATCAAAGTATTGAGTTATTGCAATAATGCCTTTTTTGGTACTGCATATCACATCTAAAAGCACTAGGTGAGAGCAGGATGACCAGCTGAAGGAAGTAAAGACAGTGGGTCAAGAATGTAAAGAGCTTCACCATCTATCACATTGGTTTCCCTGCCACAGCGTTTTCTTCAATATTTTGTATTACTGGGATTTTGCTAAAATAGACTAAGCAAAACTGAGTCAGAGGGGGACATTCCATATTATAGAGAACTGAAAAGCTGTCAGGAGTGCCAGCTGAGAACCAGAGGGCTATTTGAGCCCAGCAGCCACGGTCAGAAATTAGACCAATTAACCCGATACTAGTGATTTTTTTCGGCAAAAGTAAGAACTTCTTTATTTCTAGCAATTTCCTATTCCGTCTGTATTGCAATTGGAACTTCGAAAGTGTTGGTGGATGTGCTCAGACAGTTGGAGGGAGGCAAAAAAACCCCAACCCAATGCTCTATAGAAAATCTAGAAATTGGGTCAAGGAATTTAAGTGTAAATACAGGATTTGAGACCAGATTTAAGTGAAGGCTTTAACACATTCTTATTGCAAATTTGCTACCAATGGTCCAGGAACACCATCAACCTTTTAAGGTTCAGAACTCATCATTAACATTTATGAAATTCTTTTCACAAGATCACACCAAAGAGGTTTAAAAACATAGCAGCATGCAAATACAACAACAAGGGCAAAACCGTGTCAGAGTACTATTAAAAACACAGCAAATATGGACAGTTAAACTTATTAACACTTAAAGATTGCAAATAAATGTGCATAAATTCACAGTACATTACATATACAATATATACAAACCTGCTACATCAGCACTGAACAGAAAGAATACAACAAGAAAGCTGACAATTGCTTTTCTCTAACTTCTGGTAGTCCTCATTTTGTCCTATACAATATGCATACATTTTCTAAATAAATTGGTTACGAAAAACTCAATACATCTCTGACTGCTGAAGACAAATTAAAGTAGCAGAAATAGTTTAAAAGCTGAAAATACAACAATAATTCTCTCCATAAAGAAGTAGTTTACTCATTTATTTCCTTTGTTCATTTATTTTTGTAGGTTATGCATTTTACTGAGCATTTACTGATTTACAACAACAGAAATATTTATTTAATCCTGTCTTTGTACTTTACAGACTGAAGAAATATGTTAGAAAATGTGGTCTGCTAAAACTACATATTTTTAATCTCAATATTATATTAGCATTTCCTACGGCATATTTATTTTTAGAGTCCATCTTTGCACTCGATTGCATACTGCCACTCACACTGAAAATTTAGCAGCATCTTTGTCATACATAGTACATTTTTTCTCTGAATGTGTCAAGACTCAATAAATTCAGCACTTAACAAAAGGAATGGTCTTCTTCAAACTGTCAAAGTACAGAAGGTGCCCTGAAAGTTCCTTACCAGCTCATATCATTGGAATAATATTTACACATCTGATGCTCAATACCTGTTTTTTTAACACCTAAGAGAAGTTTTGCAAAGAAGTACAACAGTCATCTTACTGCAATCTGAAGTGCTGATATCTAGTGGGTTAAGCATATACATAATACACTGTATTCCAAAGAATACATGTCAACATCCTTGCTGGAGACATGGACAGTGGGATTGAGTCACCCTCGGCAAGTTTGCTGATGACACTGAGCTGTGTGGTGCAGTCAGTGTACTAGAGGGAAGGGATGCCATCTAGAGGGCCCCTGACATGCTTAAGAGGTTGGCCAGTGCCAACCTCATGAAGTTCAACAAGGCCAAATCTTGCACCTGGCTCAGGGCAATCCCAAGCACAAATACAGGCTGGACAGAGACTGGACTGAAAGCAGCCCTGAGGAGAAGGACTCGAGAATGTTGCATTGGTTGATGAGAAAATTAACATGAGCCAGCAGTGTGTGCTCACAGCCCAGAAAGCCAAGAGTACACTGGGCTGCATCAAAAGGAGAGTGGACAGCAGTTGGAGGCAGGTGATCCCTCCCCTCTACTCAGCTCTGGCGAGACCCCAGCTCTGGGGCCCCAAATATAAGAAGGATGTGGACCTATTGGAGCAAGTCCAGAGGAGGACACAAAGATAATCAGGGGGCTGGAGCACCTCTCCTGTGAAAACAGGCTGAGAGAGTTGGGGTTGTTCAGCCTGGAGAAGAGAAGGCTCTGGGGAGATTGTATAGCAGCCTCCAGTACCTAAAGGGGGATGACAAGAAATCTGAAGCTGGGCTTTTTACAAGAGCAAGCAGTGACAGGACAAGGGGGAATGGCTTTAAAATGAAAAATGGAAGATTTAGATTAGATTAGATTAGGAAGGTGATCCTGCCCTTTTACTCTGCTCTCGTGAGACCTCACCTGGAGTATTGTGTGCAGTTCTGGTGTCCTCAACATAAAAAGGACATGGATCTGTTGGAACAAGTCCAGAGGAGGGCCATGAGGATGATGAGGGGACTGGAGCACCTCCCATATGAAGACAGGCTGAGAAAGTTGGGGCTGTTCAGCCTGGAGAAGAGAAGGCTGTGTGGAGACCTCATAGCAGCCTTTCGGTATCTGAAGGGAGCCTATAGGGATGCTGGGGAGGGACTCTTCATTACGGACTGTAGTGATAGGACAAGGGGTAATGGGTTAAAACTTAAACAGGGGAAGTTTAGATTGGATATAAGGAGGAAATTCTTTCCTGTTAGGGTGGTGAGGCACTGGAATGGGCTGTCCAGGGAGGTTGCGAATGCTCCATCCCTGGCAGTGCTCAATGCCAGGCTGGACGAGGCCTTCGGTGATATGGTTTAGAGTGAGGTGCAGGGGGGTTGGAACTTGATGATCTTAAGGTCCTTTCCAACCCTAACTATTCTATGATTCTTTACTATGAGGGTGGTGCGACACTGGCACAGGTTGCCCAGCGAAGCTGAGCCTGTTACACCTCTGGCAGTGCACAGGGCCAGGCTGGATGGGGCTTTGAGCAACATGATCTAGTGGAAGGTGTCCCTGCCTATGGCAGAGGTCTGGAACTGAGTGCTCTTGGAGGTTCCTTCTAACCCAAACCATTCTGTGATCCCACAAAAAAGAGACACAAGTTAAAATTGTCAGGAATCCTAAACTTTACATACAGAGGTACAGGTAAAAAAAAAAAAACAACCCAAAATTGCTCACTAAAACATAATTCTGAATTAGTTCTGCAAGAAGTATTTAATAGCAAGTTTGACAGTAGTTATCACACATGCTGCATTTAGTACAGCAATCAAGAAATTTAATCTTTGCAATGACAAACTGACATTTTCAGTTTATTCAAATTAATTTCAACTTTCTTACCTTATTTACTTCCATGATTTCCCTTCTCTCTTCACTAGCAAAACGAAGCTGACTTGCAGCACCACGATCATCATGCTTGGAGCCATCTTCTTCAACATATGGAATAAGTTGCTGTGAAGACAAGAAACATAAATTTTAGGAAAAAAAAGCAAATAAGGAAGAAAAAGAAAAAAGAAAGGAAAAAAGAAACAAACAAAAAACCAACAACCAAACAAAAAAGCCACATGACAGAGAAGGTAATACTATTTTCTCCAAAGTTTCAAACTTCTCAAGAGGAAGTGGAGACAAGCTAACTTCATCACCTCAAACCCAAAGGCCTTGCAATAACTTCAGTTTGTTGTCCAGGAAAACTCATGTGCTTCAAGAAGATACAATCCCATATATCACAATGCCTAGACCTAAGCAATTTCATAAGGGCAGGTGGAACCCAGTCTTACATTAAGATCTTTATCACTGATAATCCCTGTATTTTCAGACTCTGCAGATTGTGATTTTAAAATTTACTATTCCAAACTATACCACAAACATGCACTTGTCATTACTGTGAAGTATTTCAGCGATACACTGAACATAATTATGTCTGGCTTTATATAGCTACTTGGCTAATACCCTAATTATGACTTGCTATTTTAGTGGGCCTCTGTTTGGCTATTCTTAAGACCAGGCCCACAGGACCACCTAATAGGAGTTTTTCCATAAAGCAATAAGTAGTCTAGAATGGACTGTACAGAAAGGACTCCTTCATTTTTTTATTCCTATTCAGCGAAGAGACTCATACATAAAAAATAATATCTAAATGATTAAAACCCTATGGACAATCAGAAGTCTGTTAATAGAGTTGCCTCAGAATTCAGAGCTCATTAATTAAAAAACTTCACAGTTCTGGTTAATACAGAGCAGTAGTTCCTCAAATCAAAATAGGTTTTAAGGGTATTACTAGGAATTAGAAGCAACTTAACATTTGAGGAGGAAAAATGAAGTTGTGATTTTAATAGGAACAGCATTTTTATTAGGAAAAACTCTGGCCAATCCTGCTTCCTGGATGTCTTATGCTGTTAACTTTTTCATCACCACTGCACATTTAGATTTGGTTGATAGTGGCTCAACAGGTTAAGAGTTGCTGAGTGAGGGAACTATGGAGGTATAGACTGATGGCCAAAACAAGGAGAAAAATGGTTATTACTCAGAGAGGCAGGTTGGCAGGTGAGAGCTTAAAGCAGATGTTTTCCTGCTATAACAACTTACTTAAAAAAATAAAATAAAATCAAATCCCACAAACTTGCCCTGACCCATTTTTTTCCTAGGGGAAATAAATTGGTGAATGCAGTAAAAAGCCTGAGAAAAAAAGACTAAAATTTTAAATTAACATTGATTTTAGAATTGGATCCCTTCCAACTGGTAAAAATCGTTAATGTTTATGGTAAAGTTTCACAATATTCCAACCAACTCCAAATAATAAACAGAATTCAGTCCACAGAATAATTCCAGTGTCATTTAAAACTTGTTACGAGCCTCCTGTAACTCAAGAGAATGGACGACACACTAAGCAGAGAGTGGTTATTCTTATCTCTAATTTATATACGAATAAAGATACTTACTTCTACAGGAACAGGATCAAGCCCAGCACAGTTTTCATTGCATTTGTCATAGACTAATCTCAGTTTTCTGAAGAGTATCGACAGCTGACGGAGATGTTCCTGCAGCTTTCCCAGTCTGTCTTGATATGTTCCAGTATGATATGTAACACCATTCGGTAACTTTGCGAACCAAACACCCAAAAATGTTAAAAACAGTACATTAAAGTTTCTGTCACATGACATAAATCAGCTAAAATAATTCAGAGGGGGTTTTGTACATTTTAAAGTAAGACAATCACAGCATCCCCACAGAAATCACTGAAATGTCTATTTTCTTTATCTGCAAAATTCTGTATTTTAGCTGCTCATCTACTGCACAAATCACTGCTGTCAAACAGCTTCATGGAATCTACACTTTGGTCATTGTCACTTCTAACTCTTTTCAGAAAATGTCTTCAAAAAGCTTAAGCATGACACTGTTGTTAATACACTTTGGGACTTTGTGTCTCAACACCAGGTCACAATTCAGAGACACAAAGTGAATTCATAGTTAGCAAACTCTAAGTATATATACCCATACCTAAGACAACTACAGGAGAAAACTGTCAGTTGTGAAAATAGAGAGAGAATAGGAACGATTATTTCTCTTCTGCTCTCAACAGAGAACAACAGAAGTTTGTATGTTTTCTCAGTAAGTAGCCACAAGTACTATGCCCACTTTAGTAACAACAAATTATCCAAAAGTTCTAGGTGAAAAATATTACAAGGATCAAAGAGAAATCCTCTAAAAATAATCCCCAGATTTTCACAGAAACAGAGAAACATAACTAGCATATAAACAGACTTAACTATTCATAAAGGACCACCCAAATACTCAGCGTGTTTAGAGCATATTTATTGTGGGGGCAATAACAATTCAGCATTTCTGAACTTTCTCCATCCTTACTTAATGTACAGAAGTATGAAAATATACTAAGACTAGCATTCACTTCTTCAGTCAACTTTTCAAAGCAGTTTGACTGAGTTATGCATTTAAATGTCCTAAGCTGTCTCCTGTGCCTGGTAAACACATGGGGAGTTGAGCACACAAAAAGGAATTTATTTCTCACCTGCATGTTCCTCAGTAACTGAAAGATTTCCATGGTCCGGAATACAATGTCCTGCACAGTCTCTTGGCCAATTCGACAGAGGGAAGCTGTATTTACCTCCCGAGCTGCCTGAGCCTGTGTCCCTGAGAAGGCACCTGGCGGTATGCCGGCCCCGGCGAGGGGAGGGGTTGACATCTCCCACGGAGCCAACCTGCGCCAAGAAGGTAAGACGCTGTGATTAAGTACTTAACTTTGAGTCTATCATAACAAACTGCTGCATGGCGGCCATGCCATTCCTTGTCCACATGCATGGTCCTATCCAGCTGTTCAACTGGTAAAAGCCGGCTCAGTGCAGCGCCCTTTGGCTGGGACATCGCTCCCTTAACCAGTGAAACTCTGCGGGGCAGTGGGACTGGGGCTGCCCCTGACATCTCTCCCATCGCCCCCGGAGCGGTCACCGTGAGGCCCCCGCCCGGACCTGTCGCAAGGGGACACCAAAGGGTCTTCTGGCCGGCTCCGGGACTCTGGAACCGGCACCTGCCCAACCGCTCCCACCACTCCCCACCCGTACCGCAGCCCGAGACCCTTCTCTCTCGCCCGGGGTCCGGGCTGCAGACTTCTCCGGGACAACCAGGCCCGCTGATACCGGCCCGGTCTGAGGACCCGCGCGCAGTTACCGAGACGGGCCGCGACATGTGACCGCTCCTCCAGCCCCCAGCGCGCTGCGGGGCGGCACCGGGCAGGCGGGGAGCGAGGAAAGGCCTCCCCGGGCCCCGCAGCCCTCCCCGCGGCAGGCACGGGGAGGCAACCTGGCCGTCCCGGCCCCACTGAACCCCGCTCGAACCTTCCCCCCCGGCCCCAGGCACCCGCACTCACAGGGCCGGGCGCAGCGTTGCCCTGGAAACTCGCAGGCGGAAGCACTCGGCGGCGCGGGCGAACCGGAGAGGAAGTGACGTACAGGCAGCCGCCGAGGCTGAGGGGTGACTGTCATGCTGGGTGCCGGGGGCAGTCGGTGTCAGCCCGTCACCGTCTTCCCATTGAAGGCCTTGTTCGAGAGCTCGGTCGTTGTTCTGGCTTGCTTAGTGAAGTGAACATTTCTGGGCAGGTCAGCATATAGAGGTGTCAGCCTGGAGTCCTGCAGGTGGTTTCTTGAGGTTGAAAAGTTAGGTCAGAATCCTAGAAAGTTCATACAAGTCACACCCCGGCTTTAGCGAAGGTAGGGATTTGGACTTGCTGGTCTGGTGCCGTGACTCGGATAGGGAACGGTGGGCTTTGGTCCTCCGGGGAGGCACCCCGCGACATTTCGCGGCCCCGCGACCAACAGCTTACCCCAACCTTACCGACGAACCTAAATTCTAGAATAATGAGCAAACGAGAAACCCGTAAAATCCCATAAAATTCTGTGCACGGGAGTCCGAACGAAGACGCAGGATGCGTAAGTATATTGCGAATTTGTTCGCGGGTTTGCCGTTCGGGTGGGATTGGGTTTCCTGGAATATAACGAGTGAGAGGTTCGATATACTGAACCAAGCGAGTGTGGACTCTTAAGTACTGCGTTTCCCATCTCCCGCGAGGGACTGGGCCAGGAACAAGAGGAGTGAGTGAGTGTGTGTTTGTGGATATTCCAGAAGATGGGGGCGAAGGGCAGCAAGCCTTCGACTCCCATGGGAAGGGTACCCACTGTACCTGAGAATACCCCTCTGGCATATATCTTAGACAATTGGAGATATTTCCCTGGAACCCTAGGGAAAGATAAGCAAAAAAATGATAGAATATTGTACTAAGATATGGGGAGGGAAGAAGATTTCTAAAAATGTCTTTTGGCCAGTCTATGGGTCAGAAGAAGATTGGGTAAGACAGCAATTAAACCTCTGGGTTAATAATAAAAAACCCCTTAACCCGGAGGAGAGTCAATATGCGGAAGTGTGGCTAGAAAGACCAGGAGCTAGACTTTACCCGCTGAATGAAATAAAAACTAAACAAAAGAAAAAGAAGGAAGAGTTAGACGAAACCCTTCTAACCCCCCCTCCTTACATTCCTCCTCCTGCTCCCAAAGCCCCTCCAGAGGTCCCCAGAGCATCCACTCCCCCACCAGAGTCGGAACAAGAGTCTCCCCCTCCTCCTAGACGCATAACTAGAAGTCAAAAAGGGGCAGCTCAGATGTACCCCCTAAGGGAAATACCCATGGGGGGACCTCAACTTGTGATCGGATATATTTCCATACCCTTAAATTTGGCTGACCTACGAGATTTTAAAAGAACCAAGATGGGAAACTTAATTGAGGACTCACTCGGAGTGGCAGAAAGATTAGATCAATTTTTGGGACCAAACCTTTATACTTGGGATGAGATGCAATCTATCCTTGGTCAATTATGTACTACTGAGGAAAGAGATATGATTAGACGAGCAGGAATGAGACTGTGGGATGCTCAACATGTCCAGGGACCCCAAGCAGATATTAAATGGCCACTCCAAAGACCTAATTGGGATAATCAAGATCCGGTACATAGAACTCATATGCAGGACCTGAGAACTATAGTAATTCAGGGAATTAGAGAAGCAGTACCCCGTGGCCAGAATATCAATAAAGCATTTAATGAAATGCAAAAGAAAGATGAAAGCCCTACTGAGTGGCTGGAACGACTGAGGAAAGCCCTTCAGCTGTACTCTGGGGTAAATCCAGACAACCCTTTAGGGCAAGTGCTCCTCAAAACTCAGTTTGTGGCAAAATCATGGGAAGATATCAGAAAGAAGATTGAAAAGTTAGAAGACTGGCAGAATAGAGGGTTGGATGAATTACTGAGGGAAGCTCAGAAAGTCTACGTAAGGCGGGAAGAAGAGAGCAGCAAGCGACAAGTAAAAATGATGGTAGCAGTGGTCAGAGAGGATCGCAAAGGGTGAACTGGTGAACACAGATCTGCTGGAATGAAACAAGGGAACGTAGTAGTAGAGAAGGAACAGAGATATTGTTTTTACTGTGGAAAGAAGGGACATATAAAGAAGAATTGCAGAGAAGGGATCAGGGATGAGGAAATATTGAAAACGGAATAGGAGAGTCAGGGGCTCTATATCTTAGGGGACCGGAGTCATCATGAGCCCTTGATAAAATTAAAAATAGGTCCCCATAAACAAGAGTTCACCTTTTTAGTAGACACTGGGGCTGAGAAATCAACTATTAAGCAAATACCTGAGGGATGTAAAGTTTCCCCTGAAAAAGTACAAGTAATTGGGGCAAAAGGAGAACCCTTTAAAGTAAGCAAAATCAAAAATGTGGTATTCGAAACTGAAAATAAATTTGGAATGGGTGAACTCTTGCTCGTCCCTGAAGCAGAATTTAATTTGTTAGGATGAGATTTAATTGTTGAATTGCAATTAGAAATTAAAGTGAAAAATCAAGAGCTAACAGTGTCTGCTTATCCTTTGACCGTGGATGATCAAAAACAAATTAACCCCGATGTCTGGTACTCTCCGGACACAATTAGTAGACTGGAAATTCCACTGATTAAAATCCAAATTTCCGAACCCCACATACCTGTGAGGGTAAGACAATATCCCATATCCCTAGAAGGACGGAGAGGATTAAAGCCAGAAATTGATCGATTGTTAGCACAAGGAATCTTAGAGCCTTGTATGTCACCCTTTAACACCCCCATTTTGCCTGTAAAGAAACCAAATGGGAAATATCGGCTCGTACATGGTTTAAGGGAAATAAACAAAAGAACTATCACCCGGTTCCCTGTAGTAGCAAATCCATACACACTGCTAAGCAAACTAGGACCCCATAACTCCTGGTATAGTGTGGCTGATTTAAAGGATGCCTTTTGGGCCTGTCCACTGGCAGAAGAATGCCGTGATTATTTTGCCTTTGAATGGGAAGACATAGAGACAGGCCGTAGACAGCAATTGAGATGGACCGTGCTTCCCCAAGGGTTCACTGAGTCCCCTAATCTGTTTGGACAGGCCCTGGAAGAGCTCTTAAAAGAATACCAGGTACAAACGGGGACCGTGCTGTTACATTATGTAGATGATCTGCTCATAGCAGGGAATAATAAGGAGGATGTAAGAAAAGAAAGCATTCGACTTCTAAACTTTCTTGCACAAAAGGGCCTACGGGTATCACAAGAAAAGTTACAATTTGTGGAGGAAAAAGTGAAATATTTGGGACATTATTTGTTTAACGGCCAGAAGATATTGGATCCAGAGCGCATTAAAGGAATTTTGGAATTACCTATGCCTGTCACTAAGAGGCAAATTCGGCAGGCATTAGGGCTATTTGGGTATTGTAGGCAATGGATCGAAAACTATAGCTTTAAAGTTAAATTCTTATATGAACAACTGTCTAAAGACAAAATACCCAAGTGGACCCCTCAGGATGAAGAGCAGTTTGTCAGTCTCAAAAGAGAGCTAAGTCAAGCACCGGTTTTAAGCCTACCAGATTTAAAGCGGCCATTCCATTTATTTGTTAACATACATGAAGGAACGGCATTCGGAGTATTAACTCAGGAATGGGCCGGACAGAAGAAACCGGTGGCATACCTATCAAAGCTGTTGGACCCTGTGAGCAGGGGTTGGCCGAGTTGTTTACAAATCATTGTTGCTGCTGCCTTATTACTTGAGGAAACGAATCGGATTACCTTTAATGGAGAAGTTGTCTTATATGCGCCTCATAACATCAGGGGAGTGTTACAACAAAAAGCAGAAAAATGGCTTACAGATAGCCGATTATTAAAGTATGAGGGAATACTTATAGAATCCCCTAAACTATCCTTGAAAACTATTGGAGCAGTTAACCCCGCTGAATTTTTGTACCTAGGAGAAGGTAATGAACTATTGCACAATTGTTTTCAAACAATTGAACAACAGACACGCATTAGGCCAGATTTAGAAGAAGAAGAACTACAATGTGGAGAAGTATTATTTATAGACGGGTCATCACGAATAGTGGAAGGTAAACGATTGGCCGGATATGCCATCGTTAAGTTGGAAAAAGGAGAATTTAAGATAATAGAATCAGGCCCTCTGAGTGCCAGCTGGTCGGCTCAAGCCTGTGAGCTGTATGCATTGTGGAAAGCATTAGTGTCACTGAAGGGAAAGAATGGAACTATATATACAGACTCACGCTATGCGTTTGGAGTAGTACACACTTTTGGAAAAATATGGGAGGAAAGAGGATTTGTTAACTCACAGGGAAAAGAACTGATACACCCGGAATTAATTCGGCGAGTTCTGGGGGCATTGAAGATGCCGAATAAAATTGCAGTTGTACATATAAAGGGACACCAGCGAGGTACAAGTTATCAAATTAGGGGAAATAATGCGGCTGATACAGAAGCAAAACGAGTGGCAGACAATTATAGTATGATTTTGACTATGCAACAAGTACCTGTTAGTAAAAATTTGAGTTTTGAGTCTGCAGAAAAGGAAAAACTAGAACAAATGGGAGCTAAGGAACAAGATGGGAAGTACATATTGCCAGATGGGAGAGAAGTCTTGCCGAAGGGCACAGCACTCGAAATATTTTCAAAAATACACAGTAAAACACATTGGGGAGCCCAGGCGTTAGTTGATCATTTCAATCAACAGTTTGCCTGTATAGGCGTATATAACATAGCAAAGACAGTCACGGCAGCCTGCGAGACCTGTCAAAAGGTTAATCGAAGCAACATGAGACAAAAACCTCTTGGAGGACGTTCCCCAGCATACAGACCTTTCTCACACATACAAGTGGATTTTACTGAACTACCTAGGGTAGGGCATTACAAATATTTATTAGTAATGGTGGATCATTTAACACATTATGTTGAGGCTTTTCCTACCTCCAGGGCAACTGCTAACCAAGTTACTAAAGTGTTACTTGAACACATTATACCTCGATATGGAGTACCTGAAGTAATCGACTCGGACAGAGGAACACACTTTGTGTCAAAAATTGCTAGAGATCTAACAGAAAGCTTGGGTATT